CCCCCCCCCACACACACACACCCTTACACCCCTCCCACACACACACAGCAGAAACCCTAAAGCTCCGTCTTTCTTCCCTCCAAAGCAGCATCCTCATGAATAGAGTGACTCCTCTATTATATGTTAAACAGCACTTAATGCTTCTGACGGCCTGGGTTTCTAGCACCCTCTTAAACAGCTCTGTAACCTTAACCCGACAATGACGTCGCCTATCTATGAGCTGCTTACATGTACACATTTCAACAATTACATGTCCGCAGAAAAGGGACTTATGTGAATTGCGAACAGCGGGTAATAAAAGCTATTGGTATGCTAATCCGAGACCAATAAAACCTCTCAGGTGATACAAAAGAAATCCGAGACGCACTCCCTGGATAAAACTACTCCGATGATAGAGCCGGCTGTCGCGGTTTAAGGCATCTAGGGGGAGGTCTTCAGCCGCAAATAGCAAATAAAGTAGCGTGTGTTTATTAAAGGGGAATATAACATTTCAGTTATGAAAGCCTGGACTTTAAAACTTACTGGACATACACGGAGAATCAGTTCAAAAGGCGCTGCAGGTTTTGTAGTTACCTAACCACCTTCAAAGGGACAGTTAAAATTGCCATTCATTTTACAGCGATCTGAAACCAGTAATAAGTGGGCTGCTTGTAATCATTCACATGACCGACCCACAACAGCCCAAAAAATACACAGCAACGACAGAGAACCATGAAAATATATGAAAATATTCAGCTCTATTTGCTAATTATTTTTTATCATGTAACGCATGAAAAACGGAGGGGACATCATCCGTCCATCTGCCAAGCATGTGCCCCCACATTTACATCTGTTTAGCCGGCTACCCCTGAATGGACGTATTTGCATGAAGTTTTACAAAGTTAATCAAAGCAGCACCATAGACACTTTCCAGCACGTCCTGACAAACTGCCTTTATTTTCACCTATAAAACGCAAGACTGCTGTTCAGTCTTACTTATTTACACTAGTGGCCAAAATTGTGGAAACGCTTCCAATTTTTAGATATTGCAGAACTTCATTCCAGTTACTCCTGTTACTTAATTGTTTAATCGTCCAATATATGATACTTGTTAACATGCTTTGATTGTTTATAAACATTACCACCAGTATTCGTCTAGTTTTTTTTTTTGAAAGCGTAATGCCCAAAATGCTAGGTGTTCCCAATATTTTGGCCACTAGTGTACACCTGATACCTAAATTAAGAAAACAAGGAACGACTACGGAACAACAACAACAACAACAATAATAATAATAATAATAATAGATTCGGACCGAACCTTACTGTCTTTTGTACGTCGACTCCTTCAATAAGGACCCCTTTATAAAGTAACAGCAGCAGTACGTGAGAACCAGCGCACTGGATGGATGCTGAAAATGTGAGGACGGTCCTAGGCGCACAAAACTGGTCTTGCCCCCCTCCCTCGACGCCGGCAGTACTGGCCCTGTAGCCCTCCCCTACACTTGTTAATATACCGAGGCTCGCAACGCCCCCCGGCAGAGTCAGGGGGAGCAAAAATCCCGTCGGCAGGGGCGCACACGCAGCCACACACGCACTGACAATACGGGGGCTTTGAAGAAAGTGCCAAGCTTCCGATTTCCACGCCAAAAATAATTTGATGGAAGCGTTTTTTTATGTTTCTTTATTTACTGCACCTGGGAACCGAAAGCCGCCTCCCCGCAGTTCAGTATTGTTTCCGTATTAAACCGAATCACCACGCCTATGTCTCAGTCAAATTATTGTGGTTTTAGGAACTACCCTATATTTCCATTGTGTCATGATCTGTAATACTGGCCAACTGCGCAACTGTAGATTAAAACAAACAAATAAAAGATATCGACGATAAGTTAACTTTATGTGTAGCCTTAATGATAGGTGAATTTCAGCGACGTTGAGCTTTATTAACACAGGATCGGTGCTTTATAACGCTTGTAACCCGGTACTATCATTCATTTCTTCTGTTCCTGCTTAACTTCTTCTTCCCTCTAGTGGCCCAGCCTGACAGGCACCGTACCCGCTCTGGCAGACAGACGCCTGTGGGTTTCTACCCCTCATTAAAGATCCACAGCACGAGCCCCCAGATCCAGCTCAGCACTTGCCTGAAAATATTTCACAGCTAAAGTCAAACTAGGTGCAAAGTAAATACCGGAATATATAAAGGGTACATTTTGCGTTTTGTGTTAAAACGCATTAAAGGTTAAACGTAATTTTGTAGGAATGTTATAAACATTTTGGACATATATTCTGTGGCACATTAATATTTCATGAAAGTCCCTCAGGGCAGTGGAATATATCAAGTATTTTGGGGTGTTACAGATTCTACCTGACCAATACATCAACCTGCAGTTTAAAAATGTTTTTTAAAACATAACAGAATTAGTTTTACCTACACACATAATGTCAAAAGTGAACAAATAAGGCACCTGAATTATTCAGTTATTACAGTAAATATCACAGTTTCTAAAGTACACAAAACCATGTGCGTATTCAGCAATCCCCAGCTGCAACAGCTACCCCCTGCTTTCTCTCCGTTGGCTGTCAGCTGTAAGTTCTATCAAGTTCATGACCTTGGTGTCCTAATACAACACTCTAAAGGGAGCACACCGCTCCCCCCGCCCCCCCATTTGTACAAGACCTCCAAGGTCACTAACTTCCCCATTATAAGGTCATCTGACAGTTTCATTTCCAAAAGGCAGTCAAAATCCTCTCTCTTTTTAACTTCAGCCCCATACAAGCCTTCATTGAGCCTCAGGACTTTTCAGGAACACATTCATCCTCACAGATTGCCAGTCCATGTCCTGACTGTGTTTCGAATGCGCTGATGATTTTCAGTACAGTTTGTTCTTCCGTAGCTCTTAAACTACAATAGTAAATGACCTGGTTATGATGTACAGTTACATTTCATGCATAGGTAGGAAAATTTCTCTAGCCTTGGGGGCTGTGTACTTGGACTGTTGAGTATTCTCTGTTACTTAATGTTCTTATTATTGCCATTGCTTAGGACAAAAGTGGCTGGCGAGTAAATAGATGCGAATTCCATCTTACTTACGTTTCAAATGACGAATCTGACTCAACATAACTTGGCTGTACAGAAACGAAAGAGGTGAATAACTTGTTTGGGTAATGTGTGTATACAAAAGTTTGTCCAGCTTCCCTGCTGGAAGCTGGACAAACTTTTGCTTCCTGGTTAGGTTTTCCCCTGCTCTGTAATTGTCCTTTGCACATTGTCTCCATCTATGTGGAACAAAGCCAAAAGCTTTCAGGTGACAGGCTCGAGGTTCTGTATTTACCCAGAACAGTAGGGCTCACCTGTCTTCCTTCAAGCTGGGCTCTCTATTTACATCTCGCCAGAAAGCTTCAGGATGATTGCAAGCAGGCTAGTATAGGGCCTGCCCGATTAGGCAGAGGGAGCAGCAGTCTCAGAAAAAAGGGTAAAAATTTGTACCTTTGCTTATCACTGGGGCTATTCCCTCAAGGGGCTGCCAATTGTACCCTTAACTTTAGGTTTCTGTACCTTTTAAGGTACAGAAATGGACTCTGAGGAACATTTATGGACCATTGATGGTACATTAATGCTGTTTGCACCCATGGGATGTTCCTTAGCATCCATTTCAGTACCTTAAAAGGCACAATAACAAGGGTACAACCCCAGTCACAAGCAAAGGTACATTTTTTCCCCTTTTCTGCAGTGTAGGCTGCAGGGCGGCTGCCCTAGAGGTGAAAGAGTCCCTGAACCTCTGTTCATATGACACCCCCTGGACTCATCTTCTGTGACAAATGCAACTGGATCAGCAGATTGGCTCTTCTGATTGAAATACTCCACTACTTGTAGTATGTATGTCTCAAAACTGAAGAATTTTTAAGCTTCTTTATTTTTTTCCCATCCACGGTTTGTCTGTTTTTCTATTTTCAATTTTGTTTCTTCCAAAAAGATTCCAGATTACAAACCAAATGTAGCCTCTATAATCACTTGGCAGTTATTGTTTAATAGCTTTTTGAATTTTTCTTAATTAAAATGGAAGGAAGGAAAGTGTTATTGTAAGGTTGTGGAATAGGATCTCTTCATCTCCTCTGCATCTGGACAACACTCAGGCAGGGGAACTGTGAAACATCCTGTTCCAGCAGCTGATAAGACAACCTTCCCAGGCTGCTGTTCCCACAAAGCTAAGGCCACTTGACATTGTGCTTCTCAGCTCGATGGCCAGAGTCACAGAAGCTGGTTACAGCCAATCGATGGGTCTCAGTCCGACACGGCAGCCAATCACATCTCCCTTAGAGGCGGGACAGCATTCATGACATGACCCTTCCTCTGAGGTGGGAAACATATACAGTACATAAGACTGTGTGCTTATAGCCTGCAAGCATAGCTAAAGAAACACCGCTACACGTGTACATGGGATGTGTTAATACCCACACGGAAATAATCTATATAAACATATATGTTTTAATATAGGTTTTGATATAGGTTTTTAATATATGTGACATATATAAAATTGGCCGTTTTCCTATATTATATGTACATATATGCACATATATGTTCACCTATATGTTCACCTATTATTAAATTATTATTAAATTATTATTACTACAATTATTAAAATCCATAGCTGCTAGACAACATAAATAAAAGCCCAAGATGTAGAAATTAATTTTTTTTATTTACATTTAGCAAGTGTCTTGTCACACAATGGCAGTCTGCACCTGCAGGAGCCAGGATTCAAACCGCCAACCTTCCGATCATGGGACGACCCACTCTCCCATCTGTGCCACTGTTGCTGTTAAATTGCTTTTTCTTTTTCCTCTGTTTCTCCCTCTCCCTCCAAAGGTTGGCGTGAAAAAGAAATGTTCTTCTAAATACAACTGCATAGTAAATGTTTCAGGAAAACGTGGTGACATCATAGCTTTCCATCTCCTCTCACTTATTTACCATAGTTAAATTCCATAACATGCCAATTACATGTGATACCAATTTCACGTGTTCGCACATAAGTTTTTTTTATTTTTTTATTTTTTATTTAGTTCTTAGTTATTGCCTTGATAATAGAAAATATGAGCTAGGCATCATGTATGACAGTTGCCAAAGTGAGATATGAGCTAAAATGACCAGAACCTGCCATGAGCTACTGTATATAGGAGACATATCTTGTATGTACATATAGGGCTTATATGTGGATATAAAGAAGCAATACAGGAGACCTATATGGCCTGTATATGCACATATATGCACCTCAATTTTGCCTATATGTAGCATATATACCATATATGCAGCATATATATTATCATATATATGCATATATACTGCATATAGGTTTCATATATGCGCATATATCCTCATATAGGTTCTTTCCATGTGGGTATTTACAGGTATGTTCTTGCGGTCTAAAATGGAAGATTATCAAGATACCTTTGGCTAACCTCATATTATCAAACAGACATTCAGTGGCCTTAGTGACTCCAGAAGTCACAGATTCCTAAGTCTCTTTTCCCTGTCCAGTGGGATCTGTAATCTCAATGGGAATATGCGATACTAATCAGACAGGATTAAACATGTAATAGCTTCTGTGAAGGGGAACTGTTTTTTTAAATAAATCATGCTGAGTGGGTTTTATTAAGCCAAGAGACATTTGTAGACTGTATTATGTCCTGAATTATACATTAGAGTATCACCTTTTAGAGAAAGGGGAGCGGTGATGTCCACAATATGTCTCAGGCTTGTTCTCAGATGTAAGACACACAACAGGGAAGAAGTGTGGACAAAGAAAACAAAACAAAAATGTTTATCTCTGAGTCATTGCGGTCCTGTCCAGCTGGCTCTTCACGAACATATCATGCCAGATCTGGGGAACCCTTGAAAAAAACCTGTTTTGTTCGGCTTGTTTTTCCATCACACACTCACGCCAGGACAGTTTCGACTCGTATATTGCGGCATGGTGAGAAAGCAGCGACGATGTTGATAATTCTGTGAAGAGAAGAGATTTCCCAGGTGGCCACCGGCTCTCATGTCGGCAGTCATTATTAGGGGTGGGAGTTACCAGGCAGTGTTAGCGTTATGCTAATTGCATATCACACTTTACACGGCGGCATGGCCTTCAGAGCACAGTGACCCGGATGCCTGTCATATTCTGGAGAAAAAGCAACACTGGATCATACACAAAACAGCTTAAGATTAAAGGTATTAAAGATCTATTATGGGACGTAATTAGGTTTTCAGAAACATTCTGCCAAGTTCCATAATCGAAAACTAATCTTTAAATTAAAGGCAGTGGAAAGTGATGAAAGTGGTCAACAGGAACTGACTTGTTATACCGAGCTGTACCCCTTTGCGGAGTAAAGAAATGGTCATAACAAAATTAAGCTGGGAAAAAATTCATACATTTACAGTTGATAGCTAATTAGTTCTTATAGCGAAGATAGCCAAAGCAATGAAGAGTTTATAAAACATAATAAAGTCATGCGGTGGATGGACTTTCAGTGTTGAAAAATATAAAGTGACTTGTGCAGGAACATACTGGTTACACCAAGGTTATGTTGTGTTTTCTGTGTCTGTATCCTCTAAATATGACAAGGCAGTGAGGAAGGCAAACATATCTGTGGATATATTTATAAGTGGGGAAAAACATGTATAGACTGAT